ACTGCCCTTTACAGCTGCGTTAAAGCGGCGACGGCAAAGTCGCCCACCTTCCGGGCCCACCAGACACTGCCGTTGCTGCTTTAACACAGCCACATCTCCTAGTTTTTCAGCGGCGCGGTCAAGAAGAGCTCCGAGGTAGAGGGGGCGTGTCCAGTCGGAGGGTGGACCTACAAGTGGCTGCACGAGGGCTCAAGCCGGGGGGGCCCACTGAGATCTGGTCCCAGGCATCCCACTGGAGGAATGGTGCCATGCTGGCCCTGGTGGTGAGACTCCTGCATCTGCCCCTGGTGCGACTCCTGCATCTGCCCCTGGTGAGACTCCTGCATCTGCCCCTGGTGAGATTCCTGCACCGGGTGAGACCGACACACCAGTCCCTAATGAGACATCCGCACGTGCCCCTGGTGAGAGCTCCACACATGCCCTTGGTGAGACCTCCGCACCTGCAGCTAGTGAGACCTGCGCCTGGTGACACCTTCGCACCTGCTCCTGGTGAGACCTCCGCACCTGCCCCTGATGAGACCTCCACACCTGCCCCTGGTGAGACCTCTGCCCCTGGTGAGACCTCCGCACCACCCCTGGTGAGACCTCTGCATTTGTGCCTGGTGAGACCTACGCACCTGTGCCAGGTAAGACCTTGATACCTGCACCTGGTAAGATCTCCGCATCTGCACCTGTTGAGAGCTCCACACATGCCCCTGGTGAGACCTCCACATCTTCCCCTGCTTTGACCCTCCAAATCTGCCCCTGCTTAGACCCTCTGCATCTGGTTGAGACCCTCCACATCGGGAACCTGGCCTTTTGTGGGGCAGCCTGTTGCACCCACCTGCTGGACCTGCTGAAGGTGAGCACCCATGTGCTGGCATGCATGGAGCTCCCCACTAAAGTATGTGTGCAGGTGACGTCCCACGGGAATCAGATTGTGTGTGATGGCCGAACCCGGAGATGTCGTTGTGTATGTGTCATTCTAACGGCCCAGTCTGCCGTTCATTGGTTCTGGTCTGCAGTCTGTGGTGTATTGATTCTGGTCTGCTGTGTATTGGTTCTGGTCTGCGGTCTGTCGTGTATTTGTCCTGGTCTGAGGTCTTCCGTGTATTGGTTCTGGTCTGAGGTCTTCCGTGTATTGGTTCTGGTCTGAGGTCTGCCGTGTATTGGTTCTGCTGTGCGTTCTGCCATTTAACTCGCTTTCCAAATTGCCTATATTAGTCTAGATTTTGAAATTGTCCTACCAATTTCCTGGCAATTCATCTTTCAGTTCTGGTTCACACTGAGCTTTTTGTAGCGCTTTTTCTGCCCTAAAAAACATTTAAAAAATGTGCCCCAAAAAAATCCCATTAATTTCTATGACCCTGTTCACTGGAAAAAGTACTTAAGCTTTTTTTTTTGGCATATTACAGCTCGTTTTGGCCCCATAGACTCAATAGGAAATGCTTGGAAAAGCTTGTTTTCTGTGTTTTTGACGTGTTTTTATGCCCATTTGCTCATTAACATTGATGAGCTGCAATCTGCGCACAAAAACGCAATTTAATTTATGAGCCTTAAATGCGCATAAGAACGCACAAAAACACTGTTGCCTAGTTGTGAACCCAGCCTTAGTGAATTGGACCATTATTTTAAAAATAGTGTGGAGAAATAATTTCTATAACACAAGAATGTTTATGCAGGTGGGGATTGTGGGTGGGGCTTGTATATGGGCGGAGCACAAGGGGGCCCCATAATCTTGTATTGCCCGGGGGCCCCATGTGTTGTCAGTCTGCCCTAGGTTATGCGAGTCGGGCCCACCAGACACTGCCGTTGCTGCTTTAACACAGCCACATCTCCTAGTTTTTCAGCGGCGCGGTCAAGAAGAGCTCCGAGGTAGAGGGGGCGTGTCCAGTCGGAGGGTGGACCTACAAGTGGCTGCACGAGGGCTCAAGCCGGGGGGGCCCACTGAGATCTGGTCCCAGGCATCCCACTGGAGGAATGGTGCCATGCTG